CTTCCTCAACCCCTACATATATCTCCTTCCTCACTCACTACATATATATAATTCCTCACCCCCTACATATATCTCCTTCCTCACCCCTACATATATCTCCTTCCTCACCCCCTACATATATCTCCTTCCCCACCACCTACATATATCCCCTTCCTCACTCCGTACATATATATAATTCCTCACCCCTATATACATATAATTCCTCACCCCCTACATATATATAATTCCTCACCCTCTACATATATCTCCTTCCTCACCCCTACATATTTCTCCTTCCTCACCCCTAAATATATTTCCTTCCTCACCCCTACATATATCTCCTTCCCCACCCCCTACATGTATCTCCTTCCTCACTCCCTACATATATCTCCTTCTTCAACCCCTACATATATCTCCTTCCTCAACCCCTAAATATATATAATTTCTCACCCCCTACATATATCTCCTTCCTCACCCCTACATATATATAATTCCTCACCCCCTACATATATCTCTTTCCTTACCCCCTACATATATATAATTCCATCAATAAGTGGATTATGTGAATAACATGAAGTGGAATCTTGTCCCAGTTGCTAGGACTGCTGCTAGGAAAGTTGGTTCACTATGTTGGGCTAGACAATTTTTCTCATAAAAATCTAATACATTTATAAGTCGACCATGCTTTGAATATTTCTGCTTCATATAGTCTGGTTCTCCTGCTGTATATTTAATGATTCTTGGTAAAATCCAATGTAGAATCAGCAATATTATTGGTCCTTACCTGGCATCTTGGCTTCAATCACTTTTCCACTACCATAACATAATTTCCCTGTGTCTTTTCTATAAATTTTCATGGTGATTGTTCTGATAAATTTTACTACATGCTACCTAGACTTTATAAATTTAGATTTAGTACTAAATTAGTAAAAATTTCCCATTATTTTACAGGTGAAATGGCTAGATGTAACCATAAGTTCTTTGCTCACAGTTTCTTTTCTCGCACTTCTCACATGTGGATCTTTCTTCTGACTTCTTACTTTCCAGTTAAATTTGATCTTCAAAAATTTACAAATAATATCAATTGTTATCTTCTGTTTTCTTAATTCCTGTTCTTTTATTGTTCTCTTTACTTAATGATGTTTTTTCTCATATTCTCTAACATTCAGTAACACCCTCGAGTCTTAGTGGCTTTATTGTCTTGCTTGGGGTGAAATGATTTTAAAAAAATAACAACATGTCTGATGAACACAATACATTTAATTTTTCACTTTGTTAATCAGTCGTTTAAAATTGTTCTAATATATAAAAATTTTATTTATCATCTTCTCCCAAAGGTAATATTTTCTGGCTCCATGCTGATATTGTAGCGATGAATACAAGTAACCAATAGTGACAAACAAGAAAAAACTCAATTATAATAGATATAAGGAAATCCAAGTAATTACTTCTATTTTTAAATTTAAGAATTGTTTGTTACTTACTCACTCCTTCCATGTTATTCTCGTCATCCTTCAGTAGATTCATACAATCTTGTATGACAGTGCTATTTTGATGATTGAAGCAATTACTTGTATTTCCTTATACATTCCACAATTGATTTTGTTCTTACTTTAAACTTCGTTTATTGTAATAGTAGTACCCGTTTTCATCACTAGCATCATCATAAAGTCAAGAACTAACATTGTCTGTAGTACTAGTAGTAATATTATATCATCATCACTACTACAACTACCCAGGGAAAAAAACCTAAAAAACAACAAAAACAAAACAAAACAAAACAAAAATGCATATCCATTTTTTTTTGTTTTTTTTTTTTTTTTTTTTTTTTTTTTTTTTTTTTTTTGTTTTTTTTTGCTGCACAGTATCATCTGGAAAGTGTCGGGTGAAACTCATCACCGCCATTAAATTTGAAACACATTATCAACCACCTAACTGTGCTTACATCCACTGTTTGGTCTCTGTAACAATTCAGCGAGCGTCAATGAACGTTAATTTGAACACTGCTTTCGTGCGTAGAGAGAATTCAATGACGCAATATTGCTTTGCATGGACTGTCATGTCAGACGCCATTCTGCCAAAATGTTATCTGCATCTTGCCAAAAATTTATCCGCTGCCTCCAACATCTGTCCCTGACGTTGTTGGACAGCATTATAAAAAAAAGCGTTATTTTGGGGCAAACCGCTAAAATGATTGCTGTCGATTTTTATTATTAAATTTTCACTATCCTGTAATGACTATGATTTTCTTCGATCTTTATTATGAAATTAGTAATATCTTGTAATATATATTAAATTCATAATCAGTACATATTATATATCATTATATAATATGTAATGATTATGAATTTAATATCATTATATGTGTGTGTGAGAGAGAGAAAGTGTGTGTGTGTGTGTGGGTGTGTGTGTGTGTGGGTGTGTGTGTGTGTGTGTGAGAGAGAGAGAGAGAAAGTGAGAGTGAACGTTGCTATTTTGGTTTTCGTTGCGAAGCATATTCACCATATCGATGTTCTTTAGCAGCAAAATAAGCAAGCACTACGCAAAGATTCAAGGAGTTGGATTTTGTTGCTTGAATGTTGAAGAAATATGTTGCACACAAGTCATTTCTTATCGTGTGTGACAAGCTTCACACCCACAAGTCGTGTAAAGTGCCTGTCACGTCCGGCGGTGCCAGACCGTTTCTCCGTCCTCGCACTGACATCACGCAGTCATCAGAAATTCCAACCAAATTCAAAACACTGTCACCTCTGAAACCATCCAGTCGCCATTACAGCTGCGTCTTTCTATACACGGAAATGGTAAGGAGGAAATACACGACGCCAATGAGATTCTAAAGGAAATTCAATAGATAGATAGATAGATAGATAGATAGATAGATAGATAGATAGATAGATAGATAGATAGATAGACTTAATAGACTTAGAGATAGATAGATAGATAGATAGATAGATAGATAGATAGATAGATATTAATAGACTTAGATATGAAGAGATAGATAAATGTGAATAGATAGATAGATAGATAGATAGATAGATAGATAGATAGATAGATAGATAGATATGAATAAATAGATAAATGTGAATAGACTTAGATATTAAGGGATAGATAAATAGAGAGTGTGAGTGAGTGAGAGAGGGATGTTGACAGACTGAGATAGATAGATAGATAGATAGATAGATAGATAGATAGATAGATGTGAATAGACTTAGATATTAAGGGATAGATAGAGAGAGAAAGTGAGTGAGTGATAGAGAGGGAGAGAGGGATGTTGATAGATAGATAGATAGATAGATAGATAGATAGATAGATAGATAGATAGATAGATAATGATTCATCACTACACTATTGTTCTGATTCCAAAGGCAACAAATCAATCCAATTAATGAATACAAACTCACCTGTAAGAAAGAAACATGCGTCGCTATTGAGGTTTTGGTTTTTTTATTGACAATTGATAAAGAAACCTCCCTACTACTGATGTTAGTTTCCAGCAGAGTGTATGTCAGTGTATTGTACATTTATAGTGACATTCATTCTTGTTTATTGCCTATTTTTTCCATCAGCGCCAATTGTCAATGTCTGACTCCAGATAAACAGAATCCATAATGATTTTTGAAGCAATTACTTGTATCTCCTTATACCTTTCACAACTGATTTTGAAGACTTTTAACAATTTAAAGTTTGGCGCTACTAATTCTTCTTCCATTTGCTGAATGAAACTAAGCTCAGTAAATCTCTATGAAAGATCAAATGTCTCGTTTACTGTTTGAGACATTTTGTGAATTTCTTACGAGTTAAAAATGTTTAAGTTTAGTGTCAGCATATTCTGTGCTGACTTTCAAAGAGGAAAACTTTTACTTGAGGGAAATTGGAATAAAAACAATTTACTTCTTCTCACCTTTATTTCGTTTTAAACGTTGGCATAGAATTCATCAGATATTTTCTGATTATAATGCAGTTTCAGGTATGATTACTAGCAAGAGGAACAGCTCAATTACAGATGCCAACTAAAATTGGATATACCAATATCGAAAATTAAGAAAATTTAAATATTTTGAAAATGTTAACAGAGGGCGGAAAATCTGACACCGAAATCCGAAGCTGCATTGTGATAGTGAAAAGTGGCCTTCCAAAAGCTAAGCAAAGTATTAAGAAACAGAAAAATCTCGTTTATAACTAAGAGTACTAAATTTATGTAATATAAATCCTCCTGTACACTATTTACATTATTCGGACTATTGTCCTCATCTTTGTCGCCATATTTATTACAACGTTTCGGCCGTTGTACGCTCCGGCCTTCTTCAAGTGGTTGGAATGTCGAACTGAACCTTTTATTTAACTCACTGGGGTAGACTGTTCTACTTCCACGTGCCATGCTTAATGGATGTCAGTTATCAGTTATCTCCTGCTAATTCCCTTCTACAATTCTCCACTACCTTAACCAAGTATTGAACTCACTCTTTGGGTCCTGTCACTGGATCTAACTAACGCCTTTATCCACTGTGCCATGTGTCCTCCCGTATAGCAATGAATGTTGGATAATCTCGCAGGTGAAGAAAAGGATAGAAATTTAGTTCTACAGAAAGATGCTGAGCATATGAGTAACGAGAAAGTTTTAAGGAAAATGGAAACAAAAAGAACGCTTATATTAAGACTCTGAAAGAGACAGCTAAAGTTTCTGGGATGCATAATAAGGAAAGAAAGCCTGGAGAATTTGAAACTCATAGAACCTATTGTAGGCAATTTGTTTAATTCATTTTCTACGGTTTATCAACCTTATGCAGGTTATTTAAAGCCAGAAAATATTTTTTGATTGTATGAAACTTTATTTGAGATAATAAGCGTTTAGCGATACAAGTCTTACTAGCGAACACATAACTGGGGATATACGAGGTGGATTCATACCTTTCCCAAGGGTATTTGCACATGTGAATATAACGAACCCAACTGGAATTGAAACTCGGCTCTTCGATTAACAATCCCGAGCAGTTATCCATTACACTTCCCGAACACCCAAGCTTACAGCAACTGGTATTTTCAAGCAGTTACCCATTGAGGTACTGATCAGACTCAATGTTGCTTAACTTTAGTAATCGTACGGAAACCGGTGTTTCAACGTGATGTGGTCACAAGCCTATTGAAAGCAAGAGAGACAGGGGAAAACAGAGAATAACCTAATAAATGAGATTGTAGAAATTAATGACAGACGAGCGAATGAGAGATATAACAGAACAAGTCATACTAAAAGCTACAAAAGACAGGAAGTTGTGGAGAGCCATGATCGCCCACAAAACATAGATGAATAAGAAGAATACAGTAAGATTTTAAAAGAGATTTTTCCTATGCAATTTTCCTGACATTCTTTTTCCGTGCTGAACTATCCTATTTTCCACCATCTTTCAATTGAGATATTTTTCATTGACTTTTTAGCTTTATTCCTTCTCTTCTTTTTTTTTTTTACAGTAAGATTTACTCTGTACAAAGCCCGGAGACACTCGAGGTAGAGGGTTACGCTAGGAGGTAGAACAGGATAGGAGAGGAAGGTAACGGTTAACGCTAGACATGAACAGGTTAAGATTGTAGTGATTGGGGGAAACATCCTCTTGGGAGTTCTGTTCCAAAGAGCAATGTATCGTGGGAAGAATCTGTTCGAGTGGAACTTACTTCTCACCAATGGGTAGTTTATATGGATGGGAGAGGAAGATAACGGTTAACTCTAGACTTGGACAGATTATGATTGTAGTGATCTTGGGAGTTGATTCCACAGAGCAGCGGTTTGCGGAAAGAAGCTGTTCGAGTGGACTTACTCCTCACAGATGGAATACGGAGAGAATGTGAATGGTTTGCTGCAATGTAAATGGCATATTTTGCATTGTTGCTTTTATGGCTCAACAGATAAGTTTAAAATAACTTATGATTAAAAATTAAATTTTCATCAGAAGCAGGAGTCTATCGAATAGAATGTAAACAACTGTCGGCAAGATATATTGGTGAAACATCATCATCAGTCTCATGACTGAGTGTAGTTAAGGAGTCGCTGCGTAGCGTAGCTGAGTACCTGACCAGTTCCCTCCATATGTCTCTGTTGCATGCCTATGTCTGCGTCTTTGCGAAGGATCTTCCAGTTCACTTAGTGACGTTGTTAACACATTTTCCTCTGTCTGCCTCTTCTCTTGCATAAAAATGGTACCTTCTATGATGGTAAGTGGAAGATTATTGGCTCTTGTGACTGCTATTCAATAGGCCTGTTTCTTTTCTAACGATGTTATTTACTGCGTCATGTGCGATGCGGTCTACAGGTTGTGATGGGTTAATTGTCGCCATTTTATATTTATAACTTCGTGCATGCGCGTTGTTGTTTTTTTTTTTCATTTTGTCAACTGCACAGGATAGTAGGGTCAGTTGGGCACTGTCTGTGAGAAAAAGGGGGCAACATGACGCAATTCACTCCGCCTGAAATTTCGAAACAGTATGCTGTACTGTTTGGCATTCGCACTTAAAGCTCCAATACGAACATTTCAGAGTGTTTGGGTATTAATCTGAAGACAGTGTAGAGGATTCGGAAAGAGTTGGTTGAGTCTAATGGTGATTACGAAGCTACGGCAGCTCGGAAAACTCACTCTTATGGATTTGAATTTGTTGATAAGGGCCTCAACAGGAGGCCTACATCAAAAAGTGCCTTGAGGAGGTAGTGCTGCCCTTTGTCAAAGGGTGGCTGCTGGAAGCTATGTCTGGCAACAGGACTCGGCACCATGCTATACAAACAGGAGAATCCAGCCATGGCTATCAGGCAATTTCTACGACCACATTACCCCTTACACCTGGCTACCTAACTCCCCAGGCTATAACCCCCTTGATTATTATGTGTGGGGCGCAACTGAGTAAGATAAAAACAAAATTCCTTGTAACACGAAAGATGAACTGAAGGCAAGATTATGGCAACATTCACCAACTTAAACAAGGAGACCGGCCAAAAGAGTTGTAGAAGATTTCGAAATCGTGGTTGAAACCAATTGTGATTTTATTAAATAAATTTACTCTTTAGTATTTCAAGATATTTTTTTGTAATTTTGGTAAATATAACTGTTAAAACGAGATGTCAGTGTTATTTTCATTTTTGCATCATTTAAACGACAATTTATCCATCGCACCCTACACACACATACATACACACACACACACATATATATATATATATATATATATATATATATATATATATAATAACAGATATTTTGTTTTGATTAATTTTAGTGACCGTCTTTTTTACCAACCTAGAACAATTTATCCATTGCACCCTGCATCCAAGAAGATTCTTAGAATTATTCTCTGTAGAATTAATCTTTTCTAATGCTTGGATTCTTCGCGATTGTTCTGTTTTATTATTCAAGATCCACAAACTTACAAAATATTGAGAAAGCCAGTACATTCAACAGAGTTCTGATTTCAAGCAAATATGTCTTTATATTCACACCGGTCAGTTAAGTGTTATAAATGATACTCGCTTTCGATTCATGAGTGACTAGGCAGAAAGTTTTCCTGTTGTAGGCTGACATTTCTTTACACCATAGACTGTTTGCCATCAAAGGCTATAGGGACCCATACCTGAGAGGAAGAAGAACATAACTTTCTCAAGGGTATTTGCGCATAAATGAATGTAGCGAACCCCGACTGTAATTTGAACTCAGCTCTCCTTCTTTTCATTCCGAGCCATTGTCCATTACGTAGTGTGCAAATTCAAGCTTTCATATGCTTAACATAAATCACGTTTTGCCTGTCTAATGTAAATTCTTTTGAATTATAAACAATTTTTCTGATGACGCTGATTTAGCAGCGATACGGTGAAGTAATAGATAACGGCTCGAATTGAGGAATCGGAGAGCCGAGTTCGAATTCCAGTCAAATCCATTACATTCATTTACGTGTTAATACCCTTGGGAAAGGTATAAATCCTCCTCGTCTATCCACACTGCGGCCCATGTTATGGGAAAATAGCAGGACAGACCGGGTTCTATAGCTTTGGATAGCAACTGGTCTACCGAAGAAAGAAATGGCAACCTACTTAAAAAAAAATCTGCCTCGGAAAGTCATATATCGAAAGATACATGATTGCCCTTTTTGTATAAACATTGGGCATAACTGAAATGACTTTCCAGTCGAATCCATTATATTAGAAAAGGCATGAGTTCCTCTTCTTCTCCCCCCAGCTATGAGTACGTAGCAAGACAGACCGGGTTCTATAGCCTTGATAACAACTGGTCTAAAGAAAGAAAAAATGGCAACCAAAGCTGGAAAAAAAAATCTGCGTCGTCAGTCATGCATCGAAATATATATGATATATATATATGTATCACGCATGGCACATAACTGACTGGCATACCCTTTGAAAAAAGTATGAATAATACTTCTTCTCCACCCCCCATTATAGGAAAATAGCAAGACAGACCGGCCTCTATATGATTGGGTAGCAACTGGTCTACCGCAGAAAGAAATGGCAAGAAACTTTGGAAAAAAAATCTGATAAGATCAGTCATTATCGAAAGATACATGATCGCCTAACGTGTATCACGCATGGCACATAACTGACTGGCAACCCTTGGGAAATCTTATGAATCCTCTTCTTCTCCAAAAAAAGCTATAGGTCTTTTAGCAGGACAGACCGGCCTCTATAGCCTTGGGTAGCAACTGGTCTACCGCAGAAAGAAATGGCAACCTACTGCTGGAACAAAAATCTGCGTCGTCAGTCATGCATCGAAAGATACATGATCGCCTAAGCGTGTATCACGCATGGGACATAACTGACTGGCATACCCTTGGGAAAAGTATGAATCCTCTTCTTTTCCTCCCCCAATATAGGAAAATAGCAGGACAGACAATTATTCTATAGCCTTGGGTAGCAACTGGACTACCGCAGAAAGAAATGGCAACCTACTGCGGATAAAAAAAAAATCTGCGTCGTCAGTCATGCATCGAAAGATATATGATCGCCTACGCGTGTATCACGCATGGCACATAACTGACTGGCATTTTTTTTGAAATTTATGAATCCACTTCTTCTCCACCCCCCAGCTATATAGGAAAATAGCAAGACAGACCGGCCTCTAAAAGCATTGGGTAGAACTGGTCTACCGCAGAAAGAAATGGCAACCTACTGCTGGAACAAAAATGTTTGTCGTCAGTCATGTATCGAAAGATACATGATCGCCCTAATTTGTATCACGCATGGCACATAACTGATTGGCATCTATTTTCAAATTATGAATCCTCTTCTTCTCCACCCCCAGCTATAGGAAAATTTTTCATAAGACCGGCCTTATAGCCTTGGATAGCAACTGGTCTTGCAGAAAGAAATGGCAACTTAACTGCTGGAACAAAAATCTGCGTCGTCAGTCATGCATCGAAATAGTACATGATCGCCTAAAGTGTATCACAAATCATGGGACATAACTGAATTTGGCATACCCTTGGGAAAAAGTATGAATATATTTTTTTCCTCCCCCAGCTATAGGAAAATAGCAGGACAGACCGGCCTCTATAGCCTTGGGTAGCAACTGGACTACCGCAGAAAGAAATGGCAACCTACTGCGGGAAAAATCTGCGTCGTCAGTCATGCATCGAAAGATACATGATCGCCTAAGCGTGTATCACGCATGGCACATAACTGACTAACGTGTCAATGTAGACCTTTTTACAAATCGCCTTATATATTTCGTTAATAGTACTTGTCCGAAATTAGTATCCGATTTTGCGAAAAGAGCTCATATTAAACAATGCTCTTCCAATTGCACCAGATACACAACACATTGTTCGACTTTTATATTATTTGACGGTGACTCATTTCGTTTTTAGGATCCCTTTTCCTGTTCAATTTATGTATTTTTGTTTTCTTTGTTCTCTCTTTCTTTCTGAAGTAGCTTTCTATAAATGTTTTTATACATCGATTTTCGTCACTTTTATTTCCACATAGTGTACATTCACAAGTCTGCTGTTTCCTATCTTGAACGCAATGAGGTTTCATTTTTCTAGAATTCTAGACGGCTATTAATGGCGAAGCTATTTCTTTAAGCATCCTCTTTGCGACTATGTACATGTCCTCTTGATTGTATCTTGAAATGTCCAACGCAATTAACTT